TCCAAGGAGCACATTAGTAATTCCTGCTGGCTCTAACCAAACCCTCTCAAATCCAGGGCAGAAAACTGCCTCACCTGGACATAGCAATATCTTGATGCCTCTTCTCTGCCATATGGAAGCAAATTGCTAATATTGTCTGTGCCAACAATTTGTTTCCCACTTGTTCTCACACCCCCCCCCTCGTCTCTGTGTGCCAGGATTTCACATTTCAGGAATGGCCTCATTATAAAAGGTGCTACAAAGTTCCCCATCTCTCACCGTGTGACGGCGCCTGGAAGCTTCACAAGTCTGTTTTCTGTAGTTCCCTTTCACAGATTGTCAAAGGATCTTGTGAAACTGAGGTGGAGCAGAAAAGCAGCTCCTGGGGGGGGCTGGCAAAAAGGGACAACCCCAAACGCACTGTGGCAGTGGCCCCAAAGCTGCATAATCCTCCCCAAAGCTTTTTGGGGGGAAGGCCCGGGGTGGGGGCAGGTGTTGGTGTGAGAGGCAGAGGAAGAGCAAAGGGAGCTGAGGAGGGGTGGCAGCACCACTGTCCTACACCTGTGCCAGCAGTGCAGCCATGAACCATCATTCCCAGCACCATTAGCAGGGGATGGAAAAGCTTTATTTAGAATCTGGGGGAAACAGCCAAAAACCAGAACTGTCCAGGTTACCAGAAGGTCCAGGAGGTGTGAGCTGTCAGCCACGGCCACCCCAGGCTGTGCAGGGGCTGAGCTGAGCCCAGGCTGAACTGCAAAGCCCTGCTCAAAGCACAGGGGGTGGGGCTGATCCTGCTCCATTCCCAACACTGTCCAGAGCATTCCCACCCTGGACTGCTCCTGGTTTTGCAAAGAGAATCACCAAGCTCCACTGGGGGCTCAGGCTTAATTCTGTTCCTAAATTGAATTTCACATAATCACAGGATTGTTGAGGTTGGAAAAGCCTCGGAGCCGGTCCAGTCCAACCATCCCCAGCACTGCCAACCCACCACTAACCCATGTCCCCAAGTGCCACATCCACACAGCTTTTAAATCCCTCCAGGCATGGGGACTCCGCCTCTGCCCTGGGCAGCTGTGTCAGGGCTGGACAGCCTTTCTAGTATCCAACCTGAACCTCCCCTGGCACAGGTTGAGGCCGTTTCCTCTCATCCTGTCATTGTTCCCTGGGAGCAAAGCCTGACTCCCACCTGGCTCCACCCTCCTTTCACTGGTCCTTCCTCACCCCAAATCCAGAGGGTTCCAATGGGATGTACAAGGTGTAAGAGACAAGAGAAATTCCATTTTCCTTTCCACCTACAAGCCAAAAAGCTCATCTGCAGCTTTTCAGGGAAAGCACAGGATGGGGATAATGAGGTTTTAAGTAGGGACTGTGGTTTATTACAAATTTATCTTTACTCATAAAATGTCCCACTAGTAATAATCCTGTCTGAAGTAGGGAATGAAATATCAAATTAAGACTCAAATACTTCAGTACAGTGTAACCACTTTGACAAAGTGATCTGATATAATTCATTCCTCTTTTAATAAAATAAAGTGAATCTTTCAATAACACTGGATCATCCCATCAGGCACATTGGAGATCCTAGAGGTGTTGTGACAGGTTAGGACTGATGTGTGTCGCTACTAGAATTTTGCTACTAATACATAAAGTGTGAGGATTGATTTCTGGTTGGGTTGGTTGACAAGGTGGGGATCGGTCACAGGTTGGACTTGATGGTCTGGGAGGTCTTTTCCAACCTCAGTGATTCAGTGATTCCATATAACTACAATACAGGAGAAATACAGTGAAGTATTAGCAGGACAAAGGACTGAAAGGGACTTTAAATTCCCCAAATTGCCCCGTGCTCTCAGTGGGATCACACAGAGGTGGACCATTCACCCCAGATGTTGTCCAGCCTCCTCTCACAGCCCCCATGGGCCACCTGCCCAGTGCCCAGGAGCTCTTACACAGGCACAGAACATTTATTGACACCTGGAGAGTCTCCCTTCAGTGGGACTGCACACTGCCCACCCTCTGCCTGGAGTGGAAAAGGCTCCATGTTCTGTCCTGTGCAAGGTGCTTTTAAATAACCAAAGGCCCCTCCTGCCTCCCTTCAGGGTTCCTGTCTCCTGCACTCCTGCTGGTGCTCTCCTTCCCCTCATTAACATGTACAGGCATTTCCTGGGAACTGTCTGGAATAATCCTGCTCTTCTGCATGGCTGCCTGGGTTATTAAGGAAGTGTGAAAAGGAGAATTACTCTCATAGTACTCCACAAAGCCTTGCAGGGTTAAGCCTTCCCCAGGGTAAACGTTCTTATGAGATGGAGAGTAAATACTGTGAGGATTAGACTCAAAATGCCTCTCAACTTTGAAAAGTAACAGGAGTCCAAATCAGTCCTAACTGCGCTTGGCTTGGGGAAGTCTCCGGGTTTAATCAGGCACTTTCCCACAGGAAATGATTTCTAGGAGTGAGGTTTTGTCCAAATGTTCCTTACTTACGAGAGGAATGAGCTTAAAATTTGAATAAACAGACTTGGTCCTTCTTAAGTATAAGATTATTTTGTGGCACAGTGACAGACCTGAGGGATTGGAGCTTATCAAACAGGGATCTGGCTCGGGGGCTGGATAAATGATTTCAGGAAAGGAGGAGGGTGAAGGAGGAGTTTTGTTTCTGTGAAGTCATCATTTGAATTTTTTCATTGGATAAAACCCCTCTGTGGGTAAATCCAATGATTATCAATTTAGAGAATCACAGAATCCCGGACTGGTTTGGGTTGGAAGGTATTTTAAGGCCCATCCAGTCCCACCCCCTGCCATGGGCAGGGACACCTTCCACTATCCTGGGTTGCTCCAAGCCCTGTCCAACCTGGCTTTAAAAACTTCCAGGGATGGGGCAGCCACAGCTTCTCTGGGCAACCTGTGCCAGGGCCTCACCACCCTCATAGGGAAGGATTCCTTCCCAATATCCCATCTATCCCTGCCCTCTGCCAGTGGGAAGACATTCCCCCTTGTCCTGTCCCTCCAGGACCATGTAAATAGTCTCTCTCTGTGTTTCTTGTTGGCTCCTTCAGGTCCTGGAAGGCCACAATTAGGTCACCCCAAAGCTTCCCTTCTACAGGCTGAACAATCCCAATTCTCTCAGCCTTTCCTCACAGCAGAGCTGCTCCATCCCTCTGATCATCTTGGTGCCTCCTCTGGACTCGCTCCAGCAGCTCCATGTCCTTCCTGTGCTGGGACCCCAGAGCTGGATCAAATCATCAAGGTTCCAAAGGAGAATACAGGAACTTTTAAACTGTTTTTGTCAAAATGCTGTTTCTCTTCTGTGTTCATGAAGTGCCTAAAGTGGACAGTTCCAAAATCTGAACAAGTGTTACCGAGGTATAAACAAATCCTGATAATAACTGGCTTTACAGGAGGCTGAGGAGGAGGAAGCAGAGCCCCTGCAGAGCTTTCTGGAAACCTGATTTCTTTCTCTGCTCAAATTAGTTTGGTCTCTTTTAAAGCTGTGTCCTTATTCAAGTCTATGTGCATATGGGGGAGATGTAGGAACAGCAATAATTGAACTTACCTGCTCCATGACCTTAAATTCATGACATTTATGAACTGACTTGGTTTCTCTTTAGCTTTTTAAAAGCCTGGGAATTAAACTGACACACCGTAAGGACACGCAATAGTGAACAACCCGCCAGCAGCAACAAGAACACTTGACTTTCAGAGCAGAGATTAATGTATGTTCCCCTTAGCTGGAAATTGCCCTTCTGGCCAATTTTCTGTGGCTATTTTTTTCGCTGCTATATTGTCTTTTTCTGAGGATTTAAGAGTCTTTCCTCATTATTTTAAGAAATCTTATAATACATTGATCTGGAGCCACAAGGAATAAAACCTTACTGGAACGAATGTCTGTTCCCCGGGGACAGCAGCAAAGAGAAGGTTTTGTCATCTAACAAGTGGGAGAATAAAGACAATTTTTTAAACTCTGATTTAGCACATCATGCTAGAAGGATGCTCAGTGTTATCTTTGTTCTATGGAGTCTTTGTTTCTTTTCTAAGTTTAGTTTTAGAATAAGGAAGAAATGAAAATCGAAAGTATGCAAAAGAAAATTATATTAATCTAAACACAAGTATTATGCATTCATTTACATAATTATATTGTGTAGTAAAATGTCTAATCAACAGAACTTCTCTAAATAAAAGAGCAAAACCACCTGTACAAAAACCATAAAAGGAAGAAGGCCCTGACCTCAGTTCACTAGAGAGGCTGGTTTTTATAATCAGTTGAAATTTAGCCTTTCTTCAAGTTTTCCAAGCACACAGTGACCACCTGTGCAGGACCTTCCTTTTGATCACCCCAGCAAGGCCTCCATGTCCCTGAGTAGTGACACAAACGACCACAGAACCCTCAAACCCTTCTCAAGATTGAAATTCCTTACTCTTTTTCAGATGTACCTGAACTAGAAAAGCAGGAAGGAATTAACAGTGAAAGAAAAGAGTTTTTACTGAGACATCTCCTGCGCCCCGGGAGGGTTTCTCCACCTGGGCTGCAGCCACTTGACCTCTATTCAAGAATTACCTTGGGAGTCCAACGAACTGAGAGAAAATATCCTAAAGTTCCCATTATCACACCACAAAGGGATTTACCCCAGACTGCAGAGCCAGCAGTCAGAGAACTCCAAAAAATTCCACACAAAAATTCCACTTCTGTTCTGAGATGTAAATGACTGAATCACAGAAACATTAAGGTTGGAAAAGACGCCCAAGATCCTCAAGTCCAACCTTTGCCCCAAGTGACAGAAGAGGCCTGACCTGATAAAACTACACAATTTCAGACATTTGACAAAATTTCTTCGAGTCTGGTAGTACAGTATATTTTCTAGATTTCCAGATAAGCTGTTTAATTATTTTTGCCAGTCCCTAGGTTTAAAATTGCCATTTTCTGCAAAGGGAATTTGCCATTTTCTGTCTAAGGGACCTGATTATATTGTTTAATAACTGTGTTATTGATACCTTTGATGTATAATTGATACCTGTGAAACTCTGCACTGTCATGCTGCCCTGGCACCAATGCTTTGCAGGCTGGGGATTTTCACTCTCAGAAGATGCTCCAACATGTCCCATCAGTGAAACGTTTCCTCCCCCTCCCCAGGACCTGTGCAGACGCACAATTCCCATCACACTTCCTGAAGTGTTGGTAAAAGCACTGTGAGGAAATGACTCATCAGAAGCTGCTGCCTCAACACACCAAAGCCCAGGAGTGAAACCTCCTCCCCAACGAGCAGAAATGGAACGTTTCCTTCTGCTAAATGGGGGGGAACCAGCCACAATTCTCAGGTGCCAAGGCTGGGAGGTGCAAACCAAGAGGAAACCAAGGGGAAAGTCTTGTCTCTGTCCAAAGGACCTGTAAAACACTTGTGCCCCTGCAGACACCAGAAACTGTACCTCTGATGAGGCTGGAGTCTGTTCCAACCAAACCTACCTCCAGCAAGACCAGATCCTGGGGATTTGGAGGGATGTGCAGGTACAGGTGGAGAATAATTTAAGAAGAAAACCTGAAAAAAAATCTTCTTTACAACCCTGTTATCCAGAAATGTGTTTCTCACTTGAAACACAGCTTTTCCAATTTCATTTGGAAGCCTTGTCTTTATTTCTTTTATTTCTTTATTATTAATTTCTCTGAGACTGAACACTTTTATTGTCCATGTGAACATCCATCACATCACTGAAACCTGCTGGTTTCACCCATGATTGGGGGTGGGACTTAGAAAAGTACTTACAGCTTCACACAGGTTTGCCTGAGCTCCCAGGGCGACCTTTTACCATTCACTTCTCATTTTACAAAAAGGGTTTTTTTTGGTTTTGTTTTAGGGTGGGTTTTTTTAGTGTATTTTCAGGAAAAAATACCCAAGAAGTGCCAGTCTGGTCCAGACCTATTAAAAACTGCCAGATCAGTAGCAGCGCACGTGTGTATCAGTCCCAGCACCGAGTGCACTCCGGGCACATCAGGGGTTCAAAGCCTCTCTGAACTGAGCTGATTCTCAGCCACCTGGGATCCCTTTGAGATGCTACCGGAGCTGCAAAACCATCTGCAGCACCAACTGCTTGAAATGGAAACTCGAGTGAGCTGAAGTGACAGCAAATCTGCAATAAATCTGTAATACTGAGCTTTTACAATGCACCATCGAGTGCTGGGTCATCTGAGGATCCATCTAACTGAAGGTCCCCAGGTGCCCCCTGGCTGGAGGGGTGACTTGGTTTGGGATCAGACCCCAGATTTCATTTTTAATGTCAGTATTTTAACTAAGGAGCAGTTTTGGCAGTTAGACTAGAAACATCCTCCACCCTGTACAATAAAGGGGCCTCATGGTGAGTAAGGCCCCACTCTGCAGGGCATGAATTAAAGACAGGAAAGTCTAGTTGAACCCAAAACCCACCTTTTTACTGGGGGGATGGTTGGACACAGGGACAGGTTGTGAGGCTCCATCCTTGGAGATGCTCAACCACTTGGACAGGTCCCTGAGTGACCTGCTGGGAGCAGATGGGATAGAGACCCCCAGCCCCTGCCAACCCCAGCTCCCGGGGCTCTGGGGCTCTGGAGCTCTGAAGGAGGTGACAGTGGGTTTTACCTGGCTCAGGGTCCTATTCCAAGACAAATTCATGCAGCACCACCCGTTCAGTGTTCTGGAAGAAAAGAAACAAACTCACCGAGCGCTCGAGATGCAGGAAACACCCACATTTTAATTAACAAAAAAAAATAGGGCAACCACACTCCCACTGACATTCCTTTTTCAGATCCTTTATCGACCAGCCTTACTCAGCTATTTTTATCCTCAGGATGTAAAGGCAACACTGGAGGTGCAAAGTGGATGGGCAAGGATGGATAATTTATACAAATAACAGGGAAAAAAGAGTGAGTGCTCACACCAAGGAGAAAAATCTGCTCTGTTCCTCTCACAATTACCTTTTTCCCTTCTCCCCCCTGTGACAGAAGTCTCTGCATCTTCTGGAATAAATAGGAGGGGGGGGAAAGAGAAGGATGGAGCTGTCACTGCAGCAGCACCACTGAGCTGGTAGCACAGGGGGAGAGGCTCTGCACAGGGAGAGATAAAGTCAGGATGAAGAACAGCCTGGCAGCGAGAGGAGACATTTGCTTTGTGTAGCCTGCAAAAAAGATCAGGCAAGGAAGGAGAAACTGAAAGTCTTGTGACGTTTTTTTTGTTAACTTGATGGAAGAGGTGTCAAAAATATTTGTGAGATGTTAAAACCAGGAAGGCTGGGAAGCTGGCCCTGAGTGACAGCAGATTTTGAGATGTCTGGGAAGGGTGAAATATGGGAACATTACTGCTGCACAACGGTGCTACAGCACATTCTCCTTCTCTCCTGTAGTGTTTCTGGAATGTGCTGGAGAGCTGTTTGTCCATCCCCTCTGCAGTTTGGGACCCGAGGAGCCCTGGGCTAATGGCAAGTTGAATTGTGCTGGCAACACAAGCAAATGTTGTTTCAGCTCCTCAGACACCTCAGCAGCACTGTAAGATGCCCTGGTCGCTGTAACATCCCACCTGTATCACTTGGTGATGGTCTCACATCCCTGTGTAAGCAGAGTTGGGGTTAGGGAGGGAAGGCTCCACATCCTGAGGATCTGCAGGAGGTTTAGTCCAACTCCCTGGTGGATCCCAGAGCCCACAGTCACGCTCAGAGTTCAAACATTCATTTTTACCCATCGGTCAGGCCTGGCAGAGGTACCTCACCCTGAGACACTTTCTGCCCATTTTTCAGCAGTGTCCAAAGAAAAGGGAGGGATGGTGGCCAAGGAAAGGGGAGGGATGGTGACCATCAGAGTGGCACCTTGGCTGCTGCACTGACATGGTCCTGCCTGTCACCCGCCTCCCAGTGGGATACAGGACACAGCAGGGCAGAGTGATCTCAGGGAAGTAGCCTTCAGCTGCTGGCTGAGAGATTTCCAGTGTTCAGGGGAGGTTTAGGTTGGAGATTAGGGGAAAATTCCTTCCTGGTAAGGGCTGCCAGCACTGGCACAGCTGCCCAGGGCAGGGGTGGAGGCCCCATGGCTGGAGGGATTTAAAAGCAATGTGGATGTGGCACTTGGGAATAGGGGATAGTGTGGCCTTGGCAGTGCTGGGGAATGGTTGGACTGAGGACTTTTCCATCCTATAACATTCCATGATTCTAACTGTGAGCAGTAGATGGGTGAGTTTTCCCTGCCACAGTAGGAAGGCGCCTGAACAGCATTAACGACCACGAACACAATTCTGATCCTGAACTTCCACCACCTTTGCAGCAACATAAATCCCCTTATTTCAGCCAAGGAATCTATTTCTGACTCCCCTCACTATTCCTGGGGGTGACCCACCCCCAGCCTGTGCCCATCACCCGTGGATGTCCCACAAATCCTCTGACCAACCAGGTGGCACTTGGAGACAAGCTCTCCCAGGGCTGGGCTGCAGCCACGCGTGCCACCCACCCTGCCCTGCACCCTCACTCATCTGCTTCAGATCATGACTCTTTCAAACTCTATTTATCTGTTTTCTCTGAGTTCCAACTGCACCACAATTTAAATTAATTGAGATTAAGGGCTCAGTGATATTTCCTGCAGATATGGCACTATCATCACTCTTTATTTCTATTAAATTCTGCCTCGTATCAGCTGCACCGGAAAACTCTCCAAGTGGATCACAGAAAAACTCCCCAAGCCCTCAAAAACTACAATTCCTGATGTTATGCTTTACCTGTGATTCACTTTCAGAGCCTCACACCTGATACTAAAATACTAAACATAAAAGACTTGTCGCCGAAATTGATTTTTTTAAGTTACAAATTACACAAAACATGGTTTTTAATTGGATGTGCAAGAGAACATTTGCAGCAACAACTGAAATTAATAGTGTTTAAAAATAACTTCCCTAAACGGAGCAGTTCCTTTGAAGCATATTGTCTGAATGTAATGACATGAATTTTGCATTTATATATTTATTTCTTTATTTGCATCCCATCCCTGGAAGTGTTCAAGGCCAGGTTGGAGCAACCTGGGCTAGTGGAAGGTGTCCCTGCCCATGGCAGGGGTTGAGACTGAATGACATTTAAGGTCCCTCCCAACCCAAACCATTCCAGGATTCCATGAAAGGTGCCCAAGCTGCTGGTTTCTTCCATCCTGGCCACAGGCCAAGCTCAGGCAGATGCCCCAGGGCACAACCCCAGGGAAGCATGCAGGACCATGACAGGAATAAAAGTCAGCAGATATGAAAGTCCCCTGGAGAAGTGGGAATTCCTATTTTTTGCTATGCAAACAGCACTGAATCCCCATTTTTTGGTGGGAGGATGGTGCCAGTGGGGACCATGTGTGACCCCTGTCATGGTCCAACCTGGCACTGGGCACACACCACAGGGATGAGAGCTGGGAAGGAACAAACCATCCTTCCACAGCTAAAACAATTAACAATCGTTAATTAACCATTGGAACTCTCAGTCGTGAGGCTCTGTAAGGTTCAGTGCAATCAATGTTTATCTGATTACACTAAACAGGGTCAGGAGGCTCAGGGCACCTGAGTGTTTAAGGAATTGCCTTGGAAAGAGAAATGGTAAATGTTAGTAAATGGAGGAGAGGAGAGAAGAGGGAGAGGGAGAAGGAGAAGGAGAGGGAGAGGGAGAGGGAGAGGGAGAGGGAGAGGGAGAGGGAGAGGGAAAGGGAAGAGGAGAGGGAGATGTTTCCAAACCACGCTGCCATAACAGATTGATCTGGATGGACTGGCCCATCCTCTCAATGCTTTGTCCACTGATTTGGCCAATATCCAAAATAAACACATTTGGGTCATTGATTTCCTGCCCAACACTACCCTTGCTCCCCTGGCAGGATGTGGGCACAGCTCTCCAATCATAACAGATTATAAGAATGCACATTTTTATTCAAAATACTGCATTTGTATATTCCATGGCAGCACATCTCAGTTTTACACTACTGGACAAGTTACACTTCCTTCTCCTTTTGGAGGAGTAGAGGGCTCTACACAATGCTTGGCATCACAAAAATGAAGATTGTCTCAGAATCCAAAGGGATTTTACGTCTTTCAATCATTATCACTCCCCTTTAAAAACCAAACAAAAAAAACAATCCCCATTAAGACTCAAACATTCCTGGACACAGTTTATACATCACATACAGACACACTAGTGAGTGCTTGGTACCTCTGAGAACAGTACAGAGCATGGGCAGCAGAGATGATCTGTTCTTCTAAATCAAACCAAACCCAAGCAGCCTGGAAAGGACCTGCTCTGCCACAGTCTGAAGTCAAAAGAAAACTCTCCCTGCCTTCAGTGAAGCTGGATCAAGTTCAAAGTCTGCATCTTTCTGTTTTCCTGAGTCGTGTAAACTCCATCTGTTCCCAGTCCCCTGGGGAAATGCAGCTCTGTTTGCAGCACTGCTCAGCCTGTACCAGCTCCAGTGGCACAGAACAGGATTTCGTGGTGCAGTGCTCGGCTGCCTCTCGGAGGCCGCAGGACCTGAGCCATGGCTGGCACCAAACACTTTTTAATTAAAATAAAACGTTATTACATCACAGCCACCTCTTCTCTCCTGACTCTGAAGAACCAGAGCCTGCTCACAGGACACAGCACAACACAGAGCTCTTGGAATTTTTATTTCATGTGTGCACTACCTCCCCACTTTATTCAGGAGAGGCAGGGATGTGGATTCCCCGTCCCTGGAAGTGTCCAAGACCAGGTTGGATGGAACTTGGAGCAACCTGGTCTAGTGGAACGTGCCCCTGCCCATGCCAAGGGGTGGCACTGGATGGGTTTAAGGTCCCTTCCAACCCAAACCATTCTGGGATAATATGAAATGTGCCCAACCTGCTCATCTCTTCCCTCCTGGCTACAGGCTGAGCTCAGGGAGATGTTCTGGGGCACATCCCCATGGCAGCTGTTCCATGTGGAACCGTTGGTGTCCAACTGGTGCCCATTCCCACACCTGTGCCTGTGCTAACCCACACTGGAGGGGGGGCCTGGAATCCCTGCTCTCGATGCTCACCAGGATTACTGCCCAGGGTCACCACAGTACCTTCTCACTCACCCCCAGATCTCACATCCATGCCCACAGAAAGCAAGGCTGGGTTTTCTCCCATACCTTTGGAGGAGGGCAGTGAGCGCAGCCCCGAGCAGACAGGCAAGGCAAGGCTCCAAAGGCTGGAGAACAGCCAAAAAGAGAATATTGGTGGAACTGCACCTGGTGTGTGAGAGCTCCAGACAAAACCCCAAAAAACCCTCACAAGTGACTGTTCGCATTGGTTGTTGCTGGCAAAGATTGATGACAACGATAACTATGATGAATTGATGCTGTAATTATGGATCTGTGAAGTTCTATGAGGGGACAACAAATGTGTCACTACTTAGACACAGCTGAACAAGCACCACCGTGTTCCTTCAAATGCTCTGCAGCTCCAAGTCATTAACGCAGCTCTGCCTTTCCATGACGTTCTGCTCCTGCACCTGAAGATCAGCTAGAATTCCATACCAAAATTAGGTTTAAAGAGCCAAACGTCATTGAAAAGTACCTAAATCCTCTCTCTTGTTTGGTACAAGCCATTCTCCAGGAGAAAAAAACACTTTTACTTTGCAAACTATTACCTATGGTTGTGCAGCCCTCCATCTGCCAGGGCTGTAAAGCTGCACAA